ACGAGTATCATTACGGAGTGTGCAGTGGAAGTTGGAGGCAGGGTAGTTAGACAGGACACTGGCAAGCTTTCCCAGGAAACGAAGAACCTAATTAAAAAGCGTCAAATCATGAAAGTGTCAAGTACAACAGACAAAATAGAACTGGCAGAGCTTTCGAAGTTGATTAATAGACGTAAAGTATGCGATGTAAGAAGGTATAACATGGAGGGAATTGAACACGCTCTGAAAAACGGAGGAAGCGTCATAGCAGTGAAGAGGAAACTTGGGATAGGCAAAAGTCGGATGTATGCACTATGGGACAAAGAAGGCAAACTAACTACCAATATGGATAGGATAGTTAAAATAGCGGAGGAGTTTTACAGAGATCTGTACAGTAGCCGAGAAAACCACGACATTAATACTATAAGAACTAGCAGTAACCCAGATGACACCCCACCAGTAATGATAGAAGAAGTCAGAAAAGCTTTGGAGAGCATGCAAAGAGGCAAAGCTGCTGGTGAGGATCAGGTAACATCAGATCTGCTGCAAGATGGAGGACAGATTGTGTTAGAAAAACTAGCCACCCTGTTTTCGAGGTGTCTCCTCACGGGAAGGGTACCAGAGTTTTGGAAGAACGCTAACATCATCTTAATACATAAGAAAGGAGATGACAAGGACTTGAAGAATTACCGGCCGATAAGCTTGCTCTCTGTAGTATACAAGCTAATTACAAAGGTAATTGCTAACAGAGTAAAGAAAACATTAGAATTGAATTAACCAAAGGAACAAGCAGGATTTCGAACAGGCTACTCAACAATTGACCACATTCATACTATCAATCAGGTAATAGAGAAATGCTCAGAGTATAACCAACCACTATACATAGCCTTCATAGATTACGAGAAGGCGTTTGATTCAGTAGAAATATCAGCCGTCATGCAGACACTGCGGAATCAGGGCGTAGATGGAGTATATATAAACATTCTGGAAGAAATCTACAGGGGATCAACTGCTACCATAGTGCTTCATAAAGAAAGCAACAGAATACCAATCAAGAAGGGTGTAAGTCAGGGGGACACAATCTCCCCAATGCTATTTACCGCGGGCTTACAGGAGGTTTTCAGAAGCCTAGAAAGGGAACAGTTAGGGATAAGAGTTAATGGAGAATACCTTAGTAGCCTGTGCTTCGCCGATGACATTGCATTGCTGAGTAACTCAGCGGACGAATTGCAACTCATGATTACGGAGCTAGACAAGGAGAACAGAAAGGTGGGTCTTAAAATTAATCTGCAGAAAACGAAAGTAATGTAAAAGAACCTCGGAAAGGAGCAGCGCTTCGAGATAGGTAATAGTGCACTTGAAGTTGTAAAAAACTATGTCTACTTAGGGCAGGTAATAACCGCAGAGCCTAACCACGAGATTGAAGTAACTAGAAGAATGAGAATGGGGTGGAGCACATTCGGCAAGCACTCTCAAAATATGACAGGTAGATTGCCACTATCCCTCAAGAGGAAGGTATATAACAGCTGTATCTTGCCGGTACTTAGCTACGGAGCAGAACCCTGGAGACCTACAAAGATGGTTCAGCTTAAATTGAGGGCGACGCAGCGAGCAATGGAAAGAAAAGTGGTAGCTGTAACCTTAAGAGACAAGAAGAGAGCAGAGTGGATTAGGGGACAAACGGGGGTTAAGGATATCATAGTTGAAATAAAGAAGAGGAAATGGACATGGGCCGGGCATGTAGCGCGTAGACAAGATAACCGCTGGTCATTAAGGGTAACTAACTGAATTCCCAGAGAAGGGAAGTGGGTTAGGGAGAGACAGAAGGTTAGGTGGGCAGATGAGATTAAGAAGTTTGCGGGTATAAATTGGCAGCAGCAAGCACAGGACCAGGTTAACTGGCGGAACATGGGAGAGGCCTTTGTCCTGCAGTGGACGTAGTCAGGCTGATGATGATGATGATGATGACGTTGGGTACGCGAGGTGAGGAGGTCGGAAAGAAGCAAAGGAAAGGCTAAGAGAAAAACATAGCCATGTATGGCGTTTGTAGGCGAGGTGTGGAGAAGGGAAGGGGGTAAAGGAAAGGCTAAACCAATGTAATTGCCATGTATTGCGTTGAGCATGCCCGGTGAGGAGCATGGAAACAAGGAAAGGCTAAATATAAAAGGATGTATGGCGTTGGTCAGGCGGGGTGAAGAGGATGGAAAAGAGGGAAGAAAACGCTAAGGCAAAAGCATAGCCGTGTAGGCTAAATATAAAAGGATGTATGGCGTTGGTCAGGCGGGGTGAAGAGGATGGAAAAGAGGGAAGAAAACGCTAAGGCAAAAGCATAGCCGTGTATGGCGTAGGGCACGCGAGGGGAGGAGCATGGCGAAAAAGAAAGGCTAACTAAATAATAACAATGCATGGCGTTGGTCAGTTGGGGTGAGGAAATTAGAAAGGGTCAAAGGAAATGCTAAAGCAAAAGCATAGCCATATCTATTGCGTTGGGCAGGCGAGGTGAGGAGAATGGAAAGGAGTGAAGAAAATGCTAAAGCAAAATCAGTGCTTCGTATTGCGATGGGCACACGACGTGAGGAGCATGGAACGAAGAAACGTCTAAACAAAAAATAACAATAAATGGCGCTGGTCAGGTGGGGTGAGGAGGATGAGAAAGAGGTAAGGAACGTTAAAGCAAAAGCATAGCCGTGTACGACGTTGGGCAGGCGGAACCATGTAAAACATATGCCTGGGTAGCAAGGAGGTGGGAAAGGCAAGTGAAGGTGAGAATAGAAAAAAAACGAATGACCAGTGTAAAGCATAGCAAAGTCATGTATGGTGTCACGCACGCAGAACCATTCTGGAATAGCCGTGTGTAGCAAGTGTGGGAAAGGAAGTGGGTGGAGGAGGAGTAAAAGGATGTTGTGGACACTAAAGGAAAAGAAGCGAGATGGTAAAGAGTAGCTGCTGTGTATAGTGTTGGCCAGGCATAATCACCCGAAGCGTAGACAAGCATAGCAAGGAGATGAGAAATTCATGGAGCGAGACGAAAACAGATATAAGGAGAGGTGATAGCAACGCACACCAAAACCACGTATGGCGTCCCACAGGCGGAACACAACGAAATTTGTTCATTCAAGTATCCTAAAGGTCTGAGAGCAGCACTAGGTAGAGGAGTTACAATGAATCGGTTGCAGTTACATGGCACCATTTTAATATAGCCTTTCATAGCCAGAGGTGGGAAGAGCACTGAGCGTGAAGACGAGCTATACGTGATTTATGAGCATAAAAAGAAAGAATTGAAATGTGAAAGCATAGCATGGTCATGTACGGCTTCAGGCAAAAAAAAAAGACATTCAAAGCATAGTCATGTATGGCCAGGATGTGGAAAGTGAGGATGGGGAGCTTGGAAATTAGGAAGAGGGAGAGATAATGACCGCATAGCATTGCATGGCATTAGCCAGGCATAAACAAGTAGAGCACAGACATGTACACTAAAATTAGGAAAAAAGTAGTGAAGGTGAAAATGAAGAAAAGGCTAGGATAGGATAAAACATAGTATAGCTACATATGGCGTTAGGCAGAACTTCTATAGTAGAGCCAACTGTACCCAGAAAGAGAGAAGGGAAGGACGTTTGCTGAGGATGGAAAGAGATAGTAAGAGGGTAAAGCATGTGATAGCAATCTAGCACTTTTTTTCTGTTTTTAGGGGTTTAGCTCTTTAAGGCGTGGGTCGTGCGTCTCCTATACGTCTCAAAGCTTGTATAGAAAGTGAATGAGAAGCGTGGGAACGAATAAGAAGAGGAAGGGTGTATGCCGTCATCATGTGCTGCTGTACTATCACATCGTCACTTGGTGTCACTCACGAAAAACCATGTGTAACACAGGCAATCAGAGTAAGTGTGTGAGGAAGGGCAGTCATGGGCAGCAGAATCGGAAAGGAGAGAGAATATTTGTCTATGATTTACCATGGCGCTAAGACGGTTAAGTGAAATGATGGAAAGGGAGAGTGGTGTGGGAAAAAAAGTCAACAAAAAGGAGGAGGGGCGAGGGCCCCACTGCATTACAAATTGAGGCTCCCTTTTCCGCCAATGAGGTCTAGGAGGCTGCACGGTGGCAACGAAAGGGCATCCGAGCCTCGCTGAAAGAACGCAGACGCTTCAGCGGTGCTGACAGGTTGCGTTTGTCCTGCGTGCTTCTACTCGGGTGTGTCATCCCGAGCGCATTTCGATATCACATAATATTTTTTACCAACAGCCCCTCAAATACAGGCTCCTTAATTCCGTCACTAAAGAATAGGTGACTTGCGGCTCCACATTTATTTAAACGTTGTTTCTGAGTGCAACTGCATAAAGGTTTGTGTGTGTGTGTGCGTGCGTGTGTGTGATTTGGCAAAACGTGAGCGAAAAAAAAATGTTGCCACGGATCACTGCAGGCCGTGCCCCAAATGTTGAGAAACTTCGATATTGTTTTGTAGGATGCTGTCCTGATAAGATTTGGCACTTCGAGTCAAGTGGTTCAGTTTTTTTTCTATAGCTTGTTTATGCATATCCAGAATACTAAAGCTACCTTTTCTCTCATGTGAGGCATGCGCACTAAGCATAACTCTCACAATAATTTTAGTCTTCTGGAGTTGCAGAATAGGAACATTTCCGTATGTGGACATTGAACTGCGCGAATCATATTCTATAGTATTTGTATAGTATAGTCTTCTATAGTATTTTGTGGTTATTTACGAGGAATTTCGATGTGTCATATTTTAATAGGCACCACTGAATTTTCGTTTTGCATGAAGCAAAGCGCACATCTAAATAAGTTTATATTCCATTAGGTTCGTTGTCTTCTTGATGTTCAACGCAGAAATGGCGATTGCGATATAGTGTCATCTCTGCTCATTCCATGAAAGTATTCCTGCAGATGCAGCACATGCTAATGTTTCATTATCCCTAACATTATCTTTAGTAAAAGGACACATGTAAACGTTTCTGAATTTGTATCTACTTCCCTTCTGGAACGAAAAACTCTATTTCCCACTTTTTCAGGCATATAACGGGGCACATCAGAAAGGCCGCCTCAAGTTGGGAATCAAGTGATAGAAGCAATCCCTGCACCATCCTTTCCCGTCTGCTTCAAGAAGACAAGCTGAATTTTGCGGAAACTGTGACCTTTACCAGAGACATTATTCTCGGAGGCATCGAAACAGTAAGGCCCGAGTAATTATTCCTTTCGCGAAACAAAGCAGGCACGCCCAAAAAGATCAACTTCTTGTAAATGTTTAACAGTCGTGCATCCAAAACTTCAGTGTAATCGGCAATATCTTTGCGTAACCATGTATGTATGTATGTATGTATGTATGTATGTATGTATGTATGTATGTATGTATGTATGTATGTATGTATGTATGTATGTATGTATGTATGTATGTATGTATGTATGTATGTATGTATGTATGTATGTATGTATGTATGTATGTATGTATGTGTGTATGTATTTATGTATGTATGTACGACCGATGGCATGTATTTCGCAGGTGCTCCTAACTAAGCCTGGTAAAAACAATTTGAGATGACACAATGTTTACTGAGGTGCCTTGATGGCCTATGTGTTGATGGTTGCATTTCTCCATCATTTTTACAGGTTGCTTTAGTGGTCACAGCTTGTTTGCAGCATTTGGCAAGGCACCCAGATGCTCAAGTAAAGGCTCGCACTGAGGTCGCCGCTGTATTTGCAGAAGATGTCACTGACTTTCAACCGGAGCATGTCGACCGTTTACCTTACCTGAACGCTTGCGTGAAAGAAAGCATGCGGTAGGTCGCATAGCCATTTTTTTTTTGAACGGCGTATATTTTCAAAGAATGCCGAATGCTGAAAATGAAAACGACGCAATGTGCTAGCTCATATGAATGTAAATTCTAACAGGATTACAGTACCCGTGTTCTTTTTGCATGAAAAAAAAAGAACCCAAAACAAAAAAGTTAAGACAGCTTAGAACTAGTGTTGCCAATCCCGAAACAGCAGCCTAAATGGGTGGTTTTAGTTTTTGTGTTTCTCTCGTCCTCTATTCTCTCCCTTTATTTTAAATCTTTCTTTTCTAAGATTTTTTTACTATTTCTTTCTTTTCCATTTCTTCCTGTGCCAATTTCTTTTGTAAATTTTTATATGAACTATTTTTCAATATTTCACCTCTTCTTTCTACTTCGGTTCTTACGGTCTTTTTCATGCCAGCTCTTTTTTATTTCTCTAACTCTGTGTATTCTCCTTCGTTGTTTTACTTTACGTTTTGTCTCTATATGCTCCTTGGTGTGTTCCTGGGTCATTTTCATTCTCTCTCTTGTTCTGTGTGCACTCTAAACTCTCTCAAGCAGATTAGTTTTGGAATTGCACGCCGGACAAAACGGCATAGTGCGAGAGAACGTGCACGACGGACAGGTCTCAGGAGCAAAGTTGAAGATGAAGAAGACGACGAACAGAGGGCGCGCTGTCGAGTTGTTGCGTTGCACGCACTGCAAGAACACAGTTAAGTAATGCTGATAATGACATTCTAGTGGTACTGACATTGTGAACTGCCACTTTAAGACACTTGAAAAGAATTCTAGGAATGCGCAAGGAAGTCGAAACAGAAAATGTTTGACTGAGAAATAAGAGCAAGTTGTACTACCACGATAAGTATACAGCAAATTAGACAAGTCCAAAAAATTAGCCGGTATTTGAATATTAGCGGTTTGCAGAAACATTGACCCCTTAATTGAACAGATAGTGAAGCAGCTATCTTAATCACTTCGAATTACCCGCTCCGGACTTTACTGCGTTGAGTCATTGTCTTTTACAGAGGTGGCGCCACAGTCCCGCTAGAAGCGTGGACAATGTTCATCAAAAAGGTTTTTCAAGCAGATTTCTTTCGGAATTGAGTGACAATTCTATAAGCGGTATTCTATTTTCTGGCCATAGATAATGAGTGCAGCATTCTTTAGTGAGTGGACTAGAACAAATATAAACGTTCATAAAAATTATTTGGCATCAGGGTTAGCGCTGGGCCCCCTCCCGTTGTTGAGAAAATGTTTTTTTTTTTTCACAATATTTTCTCGCTCCATAAAACGCGGGCCTTGGAAAGCGCGACACATTTTCTTTTGGCACTGGTAAGATGAAAAAAGTAAGTGTCACTTCAAGCTACGTTCTAGTGTTTGAGCACAGCGAATGAGCTTACCTGCACGTTATTGCGCGAGCAAATGCTGGGTGCCCTTCATGGCCTCTTGTAGTAGTCGAGAACCGCAGACTACGGGTGTGTCTTTTCTTTGTATTGCATCAACAATGTGTTTGTGTAGAATTTTGAAGCATCTTACCTTTGTTCCACGCTTACTCGCCCATGTCAGGTTGACTCCAGCGGTACCAGGAATCGTACGAAAGCTGAATCACGACACCATTCTCTCAGGCTACCTCATTCCCGCTAGGGTACGTATTCGTACTTTTTAACTTACGATGAAATGGGGTTCTTTACGCGCAGATGGGCTTGCCTTAATGCGCAAATTAAGTTCATTTCGCTGAATTAACCATAGGCCTGTTTGTAGAGAATGAGTGAAGCAAGTAAGTCTAGGAATAAACTCCGTTCGTTTGCGGTAGTCGTAGCGAATTCGTGTTGTCTTTAGGCGGTGGTGAGCCTTGATTGTTCCTACGTCAGCGCAGGGCAAGCACAGAAAAGGTGCTGGGGGATCTCGGAGTCACCGCAACGTTAGCGTTGCATGATATAAAAGGCACTCAACCTCCTCTGAGATTTGCGTTCGGAATCAACGATATGGGAAGCATGCGGAGTGAAGGGTATTGTGTAGTATTTTTTTGTTGCAGAAACATTACAAGATGACGCTGAACATATGTAAAAATGTTGTGTGCACAGACATATGTTCAACAGTCGCAGACGTTTTATATAACCAGTTGTTTACACTTGCCTGACAATGCCAACAGCAACATGAGTATAAGCAACACCAGTTGTTCAGAATAAGAAGAGCGGGCCCGCAGAAAGTGTGCTGCCTTCTGCTTCTCTTTGTTAAGGACAACGTTATATATATATATATATATATATATATATATATATATATATATATATATATATATATATATATATGATTGATTGATTTGTGGGGTTTAACGTCCCAAAACCACCATTTGATTATGAGAGACGCCGTAGTGGAGGGCTCCGGAAATTTTGACCACCTGGGGTTCTTTAACGTGCACCCAAATCTGAGTACACGGGCCTACAACATTTCCGCCTCCATCGGAAATGCAGCCGCCGCAGCCGGGAATCGAACCCGCGACCTGCGGGTCAGCAGCCGAGTACCTTAGCCACTAGACCACCGCGGCGGGGCATATATATATATATATATATATATATATATATATATATATATATATATATATATATATATATATATATATATATATATATATATATATATATATATATATATTGTTATGGCGTTTATTAGCCGGCACACAGCGAGTCTACACAATGGCGACACTAACGGCCAAAAACACGGGGTCTCCGCGCGAGCGGCGTTCTCTTTGGGCAGACCCACTAGAAAGCACATAAGAGTTCGACCCACTTCAGTGTTCGGCGGCTTCTGTACAATTACCCCGGGGTCGAAGAGGGAGCCGCCTGGCGACCTAACAGCTTGTCACTACGAGCGGGTCATAGTAAGCCTTCAGACGCTCCACGTTGACTATGTCGCGCCCGCGGCGGCGCATGTCCGAAGATTGTTCAATTGGCTCAATAAGATAGTTGACCGGAGATGTGCGCTCGATCACACGGTAGGGACCTTCATATTTCGGGAGTAGTTTGGAAGAAAGGCCAGCTACAGAGGTCGGGATTGAGAGCCATACAAGGGAACCAGGAAGGAAGGTGGGCTCAGAAGTGGCGGAGCCATCACGAATACTCTTCTGCCGCTCTTGCTCATGCGTCGTAAAAGTCTTGGCAAGCTCGCGACACTCTTCAGCAAGCCTGGCGGTCTCGGAAATAGGTGTACACTCAGATGGATCCGGCGTGTACGGGAGTATCGTGTCGATGGTGTGTGACGGGTGCCTTCCGTACAGCAAAAAGAAAGGTGAAAAACCAGTCGTGCTTTGAGGGGCGGTGTTGTAGGCGTAAGTGACGAAGGGCAGTATGGTATCCCAATTCGTGTGGTTGGCGGCGACGTACATCGACAGCATGTCGCCGAGGGTGCGGTTAAAGCGTTCGGTCAGACCATTCGTCTGCGGGTGGTAAGCAGTAGTTTTGCGATGAACAGAATGGCACTCAGTGAGAATGGCATCGACGACTTCTGACAAGAAGACACGGCCTCGATCGCTGAGAAGCTCCTGGGGTGGACCGTGGTGCAATATAAATCGATGTAGTAGGAAGGACGCAACATCACGCGCAGTAGCCGCAGGGAGAGCGGCGGTTTCGGCGTATCGCGTTAAATGATCTACGGCGACGATGGCCCAGCGGTTGCCAGTGGACGTCAGAGGAAGTGGTCCGTACAAATCGATACCTATGCGCCCAAACGGACGGTCAGGGCAAGGTAGCGGTTGCAGACCGGCTGGTGACATGTGTGCGGACGGTTTTCGGCGTTGGCAATCGAGACAGGAGCGAACGAACTGCTGGACGTAGCGGTACATCCCGCGCCAGAAGTAGCGTTGTGTAATGCGATGGTAGGTTTTGAATACCCCAGAGTGCGCGCACTGGGGATCAGAATGGAAGGATTCACATATCTCCGACCGCAGACTGCGGGGTATCACGAGTAGCCACTGCCGGCCATCGGCGTCGTAATTGCGTCGGTGTAGGAGGCCGTCACGAATGGCGAAATGGTGAGCTCGACGACGCAAGGCACGCGTGGATGGCGTTGCGGACGGATCAGAGAGCAAGTCGATCAGTTGGGCGATCCAATTATCCTTTCGCTGTTCGGTAGCAATGATGTCAACATCAATGGCAGAAACAACAACCGAGGATACTGAGCAGAGCACGTTAGCTTCAGGCAGAGGGGAGCGCGAGAGGGCGTCGGCGTCAGCATGCTGGCGTCCGTTGCGGTAGAGGACGCGGATGTCGTAGTCTTGTAAGCGAAGAGCCCAACGGGCGAGGCGGCCTGAGGGATCCTTCAATGATGACAGCCAGCATAGTGCATGATGGTCAGTGACGACATCGAATGGGCGACCATACAAATAAGGTCGAAACTTTGTAAGAGCCCAGACGATTGCCAGGCACTCTTTTTCCGTGACGGTGTAGTTTGTCTCGGCTCTTGTGAGCGTACGGCTTGCATATGCCACAACATAATCAGGGAACCCGGGTTTGCGCTGCGCCAGGACAGCGCCGAGGCCTACACCACTGGCGTCCGTGTGCACTTCTGTTGGGGCCGTAGGGTCATAGTGGCGGAGAATGGGAGGAGACGTCAACAAGTGGCGGAGCTTCAAGAACGCGTTGTCGCACTCTGACGACCACGAATTGAGGGGCCCGTTACTTCCGAGGAGCTTCGTCAGCGGTGATATAATCGTGGCGAAGTTTCGTATAAAGCGTCGGAAGTATGAGCACAGGCCCACGAAACTACGCAGTTCTTTGACGGACGCAGGTTTTGGGAATTCGGCCACGGCCCGAAGCTTGGCTGGGTCAGGAAGAATGCCATCCTTGGACACGACGTACCCTAGGATGGTGAGTTGGCGTGCTGCAAAGCGGCACTTCTTCAGATTTAGTTGCAAGCCGGCATTGCTCACACGTGCGAAAACTTCTTTTAGACGTTGGAGATGGGTAGAGAAATCTGGAGCGAAGACAACAACGTCATCGAGCTAACACAAGCACGTGTGCCATTTCAAGTTGCGCAGTACGGTGTCCATCATGCGCTCAAATGTCGCAGGTGCATTACACAGACCAAACGGCATGACGTTGAATTCGTACAAGCCGTCGGGTGTGATGAAGGCAGTCTTCGGTCGAGCGTCATCAGCCAGGGGTACTTGCCAGTACCTCGAGCGCAGATCGAGAGAAGAAAAAAATTGGGCTCCTTGAAGGCTGTCAATGGCGTCGTCGATGCGCGGCAGTGGGTAGACATCCTTGCGAGTGATCTTATTGAGCCGTCTGTAGTCCACACAGAACCGCACAGAACCATCTTTCTTCGCAACAAGAACAACAGGAGACGCCCATGGACTGTCCGAGGGCCGAATGACGTCGCGTCGGAGCATATCGTCAACCTGCTCGTTAATTTGCCGGCGTTCAGCAGGCGACACGCGGTATGGACGTTGCCGCAATGGTGGATGGGCACCAGTGTCAATACGATGCGTAACAGTGGACGCGCGACCGAGAGAACTTCGCCCGACATCGAAAGAAGAACGGTATTCTTGCAACAGGTCTAGAAGCTGGGAACGCTGCACTGACGTAAGGTTGTCATCAATGAATGGGCCAAATACACCAGGAGATGATGGGTCAAAAGTAGAAACAGCACTGATGGTACGTGAATCGGGACAACGCGAGTCTTCGGGTACGTCCAGGACTTGTGCGTCGTCGACTGCTTCCACTTTGCCGAGACATTTCCCTTGAACCAAGGTAACAGTGTACGGGGATGGGTTGGTCACAAAAATAGCGGCGTTGCCTTGGGTGATTTGCACGGTCGCGAAAGGTACTAGCAACCCTTTCCTCCTGGAAGCACGGTAGGATGGCGAAACAAGTGCAATTGTGTCGGAGAGACCGGTGCAGTAGACCGATACGCCCATCGTCGAGCTTGGAGGCACTATAGTATCGTCTTTCACAAGAATCTTGTGCAGTGTCGAGGGACCGTCTTCTGGCGTCAAATGCGAGAAGGGCGAGAGTTCAATTTCGGCGGCGGCACAATGAATGACGGCGTCGTTGCGGGAGAGAAAATCCCATCCCAAGATGACGTCATGAGAGCATGCAGGAATGATGATGAATTGGGCGACATACAGAACGTCCTGAACGACAACGCGAGCTGTGCAGCCTGCTGTAGGATTAATACGATGTGAGCTAGCGGTACGAAGGGACAGTCCAGAAATCGGCGTCGTCACTTTTCGAAGCAAGCGGCAAAGGTTTTCGCTCATAACTGATACCGCAGCTCCAGTGTCAATAAGAGCAGATGCATGAACACCGTCCACAAGCACGTCAATGACATTAGATGGGCGGCTCTGAGGGCTTTCACAATGCGATAGCGTCGCAGTCCTTGCCTCTGGGACTGCGACGACTAGTTTTCCCGCTCATGAGCAGAAGAACTTGGCCGCATGGGGGACAGAGACCGACGTCGTGGAGACGGCGACCTTCGAGCAGACGGACCTGGGCGAGACGACAGTGGCACAGACGGCAGTTCCTCGTTATACGAACGGCTAAGGTGGCCAGCAACAGGAGAAGTGGGAGCCGGCTGTAGTCGAGAGCAATAACGGGCTACGTGACCGGCGTAACCGCAAGCAAAGCAGATGGGCCGGTTGTCGGGTGTGCGCCATCGGTTTGCCGGGGTGGGTCTCGCCCGGAACGGTGTCTGGAAAGGCTGCATGGTGGGCTGAAAATGAGGCTGAGGGGTTGCGCCAACATATGCAGCTGGCATACTCGCTGCAAAGGACGGAGGTCGTGCGGCAGCTTCGGCGTAAGTCACTGGTGCAGGCGCTTGAACGACTGGAGGCGGCCTTGCGACCACTTGGGCGTAACTTGGGGGTGCAGGGGCCGGAAGTTGTTGTGGGTGGTACGCAGGCATGACCTCCGCTATTTCCTGCTCAATCGCTCGGCGGATGGGTGGAAGAATGGTAGGGGCCGATTGTTGAGCAGCCGGTGGGTGGGCAAAGGGCAGGAGAGAGAACTGCCGCGCGATTTCCTCACGTATGAAGGACTTGAGATCTGCCAGCAGTGCCACCTGATCACAGCTCGCTTCCAAGCCTGCAAGCCCTGCATCTCGTGATGTGGAGCGACGGGTCATCGAACGCTGCCGGCGGAGCTCCTCGTAGCTCTGGCACAGCGTGATGACCTCAGCTACTGTGCCTGGGTTTTTGGCAAGCAGCATCGTGAAGGCATCATCGTCAATGCCCTTCATGACGTTCCGGATCTTGTCTGATTCGGACATGCTGTCGTTCGACTTCTTGCACAAGTCCAGGACATCTTCAATGTAACTGGTGAATGACTCACCGGCCTGCTGAGCGCGTTCGCGTAAGCGCTGCTCGGCTTGCAGCTTGCGAACGGCAGGGCGGCCAAAAACGTTGGTGATAGCAGTCTTGAAACCGGACCAGGTTGCAAACTCGGACGCGTGGTTGGTGTACCACAAACTTGCAACGCCCGCAAGGTAGAACACCAAGTTTGTCAACTTGCCGTCCTCGTCCCATTTGTTGGGGACGCTCACGCGCTCGTAAATGGCGAGCCAGTCCTCCACGTCAGTGCCATCGGCGCCCGTGAAGATGGGTGGATCGCGGATCCTGGGGACACCGGGACATGGGGGTGGCATGGGAGGAGGCGTTTGCTGAGAGGCGTCGTGGGACATGGTAGATTGCAGCGTACGTGAGCGTAGTTCCAAGGGCATCGAAGGGGATCGTAGCACTCTCCACCAATTTGTTATGGCGTTTATTAGCCGGCACACAGCGAGTCTACACAATGGCGACAGTAACGGCCAAAAACACGGGGTCTCCGCGCGAGCGGCGTTCTCTTTGGGCAGACCCACTAGAAAGCACATAAGAGTTTGACCCACTTCAGTGTTCGGCGGCTTCTGTACAATATATATATATATATATATATATATAATGTCTGGGGTATAATGGTGACTGCAATGGAGAAAATGCTCGAATAGCCTTCAGATAATTGCTATCGCAATAAAATGAGGATGTAGTACCATGATTGGTGAAAGCTTTTAAACGGTAGCAATGACAGAAACACCGTCATCTCTTCGGCTTCATTCACACAGTGACGTGGGCTTGCTTACATCTCTCTGTGTGCCTCCTGAAAAACATAACAGACATAAACAGGAGGAGAATACATGGTACTATAAGTTGTCAACAGCTTTTCTCAACACACACACGCAGTTCCCTCGCAACAAGGCTGACAGTGCTGTAAGGCGCTGACTTTTTGAACACCTTAAAATTTTATGCATATACGATAATGAAGTGTTTGCCCATCTGTCTTACAAGACAAAATAACTAATGAAATTAAAGCATAAAAATGCCGCATAAACTCAAAACGAAAAGCTCTGCCGATAGTCGGCTCGAAACTTATGATCTCTAGCGCGGAAGCCAACCGACAGGATAGTGATGAACGCTTCCAGAATATCAATATATATAAGTCTAATGAACGTAATCAATTGAACAGATGATTACGCCAAGGGCGATCATAGCTTTGCTGGCGCCATCAGAGGTTTTGGTGCTGCTCGCCAGGCCGCAAGGCCAGTATGTGAGGCGTCGTAAAAAGCGGGAGGGCTGCATCAAGCCGATAATGGTGACAGTGAAAGATAGTGGATTCGGCTAATTTGTATATCATTATGAACACAATACTGGAGCATTCATCGTTTTAAGAGAGACTCACGCAGGGAGGGGGGAGGGGTGCTCATGCAGGTGACAAGCGTCATTAAAAACATTTTGATGAGCGTCCGCAAAGACACTGCGCGTGACACGGCCTGCCAATGCAAATGCCTGGCAGTCTGTGTCCGTATAGGGCTGGTACGGACGCCCAACCAAATATGTCTAATGTGCATGGTGAGGATGTACGTGCCACGATGCCTCAGCTTGCTTGGTGAGGTGGGCTGCAACAGTGCTTGAAACGGTGCATGCGCCTCAGCGCAGCCGTGAGACGGGTGAAATCGACCGTGGTTGCACTCGAACGTTGTCGAATGGCTCCATACAGCGCGTCCGTGGATGAGCACATAGAAGTTTAGTATAGAGTGCGAAGTGAAGATCAATGACACATAATTACGTAGTAAACACTTGCAAAACAATGAAATACTTAGAAAAACTTCCCAAAAATTTGGGGACCCTTAATCTTCGCCTTTAAGAGTTGAACGCGATAGGTAAATGTGGCCCCTCTAGTTACGCCATTTGACCACTAAGTGCATACCTATTAATATGTTTTGTTACACACACACACACACACACACACACACACACACACGCACACGCACACACACACACGCACGCACGCACACACAGTTGATTGTACCAGAGCGCGCGTGTGGAAGGTACATACTGGTTTTTGATCTAAAGCAAGAGTAGAATGGCCTCCAAGATACACGGCGCGCGCTCACCCACTCGGAGACCGTATAAAGTCTCACAGTGCCTGACAGATGGCAGGAAATTATCTAGCGGTTCCTGCTTGCTTGCTCAATGCCTCTGGAAAGGCATGTTATGTTTTCCGCTAGATGGACACACTTGTCCATATTTAGAGCTGTTTGAAAGTTCCTGTGTGTTTTTAGCGGTGATAAGTGCGCTGTCCCGGCCTTTTTCGACGTAGTTTGATTGCCTCCCAAATGAGCCGACAAATCGCCGAATTGGCTCGTTTTCGTCGTGACAGCTGTCGAACAAAATGCGTTAAGGAGACTCCTTCCACTACATGTTATTTATGTAGTGTTTTTTTTTTCGTAGCAGCTGCAATTAACATCGTGGCTTTGCGGTAGGGCACCTGCTTGCCACGTGAATAGCCCGGGTTCGGCCATTATCGGGACCGAACATTTTAGTCTTTTCTTTTTCAATTTTTCACTCACGGACAATTTTTCGCTCATAACCAATGGTGCCGACGCCCATGGCGGAATTTCTGCGACACGAGCTCTCTAACGCTATCGCGTGAACACAGGAGAGAAACAGCGAGACAAGGAAAACTGAAGCTCCGCTGTCTTGACGGCTTTAACGGGGGAGACAGGGCTGCGTAATTTGTTGTAATTATTAATGCAATATTATATAATAATTTAAAATTAAGTAAGGCGGACACAACATTACCCTTGCAGTGGCGGGTCCCTGATCTCCAACTTTCGAATTACGGGTTTGAAGCTCTATCAGCTGAGCTACAATAGCAGGCGTTCCACTGAATCAATGGGTTCATTAGCAAAAGCTTCCGCTGCATAACGCGAAGGTTTAGGGTTGGCGATCCTATAACGTCCAAAAGGCGTCTTTCTGGTTGTGTGCCTGTTCGCTTTTGCATTGAAGTGCGTCTGTGAGCAGTTGTGTATGCGTAAATATAACGCATACAGCAAGTTCTTGGCTCGGGGCTTCCGACACTGCATTAGTGGAATAAAAACAAAAAACAAATGAAGCTGCTTCATTGCGCCCCATTAGGATCGCTCACCACTCAGATCAACACTGCTGTTCGGTCATGCATTCTAATGCGGGTAGTAGTGGCCGTGAACAAAAAGTACTTTTCCTTCTTGGTTTTACTTTAATGCAGAAAACTGAAAATAGCAAGGTGCCTCACTTTAAAAATTTACCTTGTTACAAGTGTCCTCATTAGTATAACAGAATAAGTAGACAAAATCAACCAAGTGAGAGACGTGAAATATGCTTACAGATTGATAATTTCCCGTAGAATTTGAGAGAGATAACGGGACGTGAGATGAACTTTTTTTAAGGACTATAGCTCTTTATTACAGCTCTTTTTCTGCTTCAATAATGGGTAATCAAGATTTAGTGTGCTTGCTCGCATGATGAGAGCTTCATACTTCTCCTTTTGATGGTTTCAATGTTCTTAATTTTTTTGCAGACAACAATATACCTCCAAACCCTGGTGGCCAGCCAACTAGACAACCATTTCAGTAAGCCAGAGGAGTTCCAGCCTGAGCGGTGGTTATCGAACGAAGAAAGAGCTGATGATTGGGTCCACCAAGCTTCCGCCTCCTTGCCTTTCGGTGCTGGGAAGAGACCTTGTCTCGGCAGGAGAATAGCCGAGTTTGAAATATTTATTATTCTTTCTAAGGTATGAAACATATCCTTTTTAAGCAAGGTGAAAATACACATTTCGTGTGTAACGTCATCCGAACTACTAAAACAGCGATGGACCTACTCTAACATACTTGTGCTTGAAAGCTGCAAGATAAGTTCAACCACAAAACAATTCCCGCTCATAATTGCCCCTTGAGGCAGTTGGTTTGAGTAAAGTACCTCTCTGCAAATAATCTAGTGTGCACTTTATGGTTACACGGTTAACACAACAAAGACGGAAGACGAAAAAGACACAGACGCGCTGTAACCTAAAAGTGCATCCGTACCAACTAGCCCAACTATCCGTAATAATGCAATGTATTGTGGAACTGGCTGTGAATGATTTTTTTATGTGTGATAACAATCATAAAAATAAGTATACACGGCTACAGCTCCTCTTGGCAGCCCTGTGGAATCTACAGAGCTGAAGCGCATGCCTGCTACCATGTTTTAAGTTTCATAATAATTTACACAAATTTACCAACAATTTTCTTGATTTCTTTTACATGGAATGAATTCCGCTTTTATTTAACGAGGCTCAAACAGTTCTGGAAAGTTGTAGGTAAAGTATATTTATCGTTCACGCTGCAAGAATACTTTATTTTTCCTTCCGTTTCTCAGACAGCACAGCCTTTTGAGCACAACGGCTTTTGGAAGTAAACATGTTATCCATAACCTTGTGGGTCAGTGTGCAGCCACAAACGTGCTGTGATGTTCTCCAACAAACATATGATTTTATTATGACGCTAGTTTATACTTTTAACCATCTCAATGTTTCTGTCATTCACATATGTGTATACTTTTTTTTACTTGTCCACCATGCAAGGTAGCATATCCTTAGTACTTGCATAGCAACATGATTCTGTGGAAACCCCGCCTCCCTAGCATTCGCTTCAATGACAAGAAAAGTGGTCGCGGAGAAATCTGGTTTCTCTTTATACCAAAAACGACACCTTAAGACGTGGTTGGGGACAATGTGGAAATGTAAAGTAAACACATCAAGTGGACACCACCGGTATTCCCTGTTGTAAATGCAAAACTTGACATGCTATCACAAAAAGGTGTGTGATAACTACGCTATTTTCCGCATCCGGTTTTTGTAATAGTGTACCATCCTTCAGAAAATTCTGCAGAATATATAGCCGTGCCCGCTCTATGCTGAATAATAGCAGATGCCTGCTCCCGCGCTCGCTGTCTCCTATATAGAAAAAATGGCAGCATATCCACGGGGTCAATGATGGAAAGTGGGGCGAAGCATCTGTCCGTCCATTTGTTCTTGCTTCCGTCCATCTATGTGCCCGTCTGCGTGACAGTCCGTGCGTCCATCCGCCCATCCGTGCGTGCGTCTGTTCGTGCGTCCGCACGTCCATCCGTGCGTCCGCCCCTGCGTCCGTCCATGCGTCCTTCCGTCTGTGCAGCCATCGCACAGTTCAACAACGCACAGAGGAAATCTCCCACCGGCACGACCTTGCAGGTCAAAACGTAAGACTGGTTACGCACTACGACGAAGGACGAACGCGTGCCACTTTAAGGGGCTTCGCCCCTAAAAAAAGAGATCTTCCAATTATGCGTTTGGCTCTTGCTCATGCTGGTGCAGAAAACGGACAGGTTGCTCTTGTAGTGAACGTCTTGGTTGCTTGTTTACAGTGTATCGCTACAATATGTTATTTCTTATTGCTTACAAAAATGATACCAAACAAATAAGAAGGAGGGAAGGAAGAAGAAGAAGAGAGAAGGGAGGGAGGTTAACCAGGCACATGCCCACTTTGCTATGCTATGCCGGGGCAATGCGAAACGGGAGTATAAAATTGAGAGGGAGAGGCGAAAGAGTTGCAAAAGAAAGGAGACAAATTTCAATAGATGGGCTGACGCTTATGCAGCTGTGGTGCTATGCATAAATCAAAGGGGATCACGTCATCACGTAGTACTCAGAAGCCGCTATAGGGCTTTGACTGCCTTGTGTACCGATGAAAGATGAGGAAGCTGCTCCAGTGGCATCTGCACAGAGAGTAGAAGACAAGTAAAGTGTAGCGGATGTTACTAGACGTAATTTTAATGTCAGCGTGAATAAAGAAAAGTGGACAAAAAGAAGCCTTACCATCGACAGCACCAATAGTATTATACAATAAGAATACGTATTTCAACAATAAATTACAATAACGTTGTTCATGGCAAAAAAAAATGGTCAATTAAAGTTAAACTTCTTTCCTGCTTATATATTCTCATTAAAGGTCATGCTCAATGGATAGAAAAAATTATCCACTGAATCACAGCGCAAATTGTTAAACAAGTAGTTCTTTTTACCTTCTGACTTTGTTCCAGTACCAAATGAGTCATAAATCTTTGCAACTATTTGTGAATTCCTTCCGCGCATAGCCAATACTCTCTTGAAACATACTTCTCAGCTGCGAATAGAAATCAGGCGCCGGTAAGATTGTTTGCAAACGCTTAAGTAGAAAACAACTTGTTTCATTCATAGTAGCTTTGCTGTCTTATACTTTCATCAGGATCTATCATTCAGAAAATTGCTGAGCGGGAATACGCTACCATGCCTGTGCACAGTGCAATGCAAGATGGTCGACGAATGCTCGAAGGTTGCACTGTTGCACCGTAAATAGACACCAAAAGTTGATCTATACTTTTTTGAGGGAGAAGAAAAGTTTATAACGGCACAGCCAGGTAGTGTAATTCATTTTTCCGGTGGTTATAAAGGTGATTTTGAGGGTACTTATGCAGTAGTGCCAATAAAGACGCTACATAATAGCACAGATTTATAGGTTTCTATATGGCCGCAACGCACTTCGACTATGTGAACTCACTTTTCTTTTCTGTGTTCTAGGTCTTGCTTAAATACAGTATTGAACACCATCACCCAGATGTAGGATTCTACGAGAAAATATACATGATCCCAAAGGGACCAACACGATTCTGCTTCAAACCAATCAACGACCCTGAAAATTCAAAATGAAGCCGATAATGAATATGTTCCTGATATATCCTATCGTATTTCATATCCTATATTACTGTACTTCAACATTGATGCAATAAATTATGGTTAGGATTCTGTGCCATGATCAGCAAATGTGGGGATATTGTGGGTGGAAAGATAACTTGCCGTAGGCTGGAACCAAACCTGCGATTTTCGAATAACGACCTTCGAAGGTCACAGATTTATGGTGGTTTCGGGACGTTAAACCTCAGATATCAATCATATCAATCAGGTCGCAGGTTTGGTTTCCTGCCCACGGCAACTTCTTTAATAATGTTGAGTAAGCATTCGATTACCCCTGTAAATGTGCGTTTTAAGTTCGTACTACATGCCGATTCCTCTGACGGAGGAATCGGCAGGTAACCATGTTTTTTTTTTTCAGGGAGTGATTGCTGTTATATTATTTCATAAGTATCACACTTTCTTGCGTATATTCAGGCTTCCGTGTAATATAATTTGCCTTATTTGCTAAATACTGTGTCTGGGGCGTGCAAATATTAATAATGTTGATATAGTTATAATACTTTGTGACCTTTTTATCAACTTCTCATCTTTTTTTCTTTACAAATGTATAATTTGGGGCGCGGGTTCGTATCCCGGCTGCGGCGGCTGCATTTCCGATGGAGGCGGAAATGTTGTAGGCCCGTGTGCTCAGATTTGGTTGCACGTTAAAGAACCCCCAGGTGGTCTAAATTTCCGGAGCCCTCCATTACGGCGTCTCTCATAATCATATAGTGGTTTTGGGACGTTAAACCCCACATATCAATCAATCAAATGTATAATTTGTGGTGTTCGGGGGGTTAATACATTGTTTACATTTGTTTACATTCATTGTATTTGTATCAAAATTTCTTGAAGGGCCCAGGCACCGGCATAAATTCACATATAAAAATGTGTAAACAAATTTTTTTTTTTCCGAAAGAACAAATTGTCGGTGATTATAACGTTAAACTATCCCTCGTTGCTTCGTTTTGAAATAGTTGTTAGCTGTATATTGAACTGAATTGAGTTTATTGCGCAACAAGGTTCCGAGGAAACCAGGCGAAAAAGGTGCACCGAGCAGCTTACGGGGAACCTTGAGCGAATATTGGTGTAAACAGTCTTTGACATGCACACAACACCAGCTTGTTACGCGAGGCAACAAAGGACGCGAAAATGACTTAACGCGTAATGACCACTTATGCACCACCACGTAAAAAATAAGAGCATAAACTGTTTTCGATAAGGCATATTGTTTGCCATAGGTTCTTCAGCATTTCAAATTTTCCGTGTCCCACAAAATTGATTGCCTGTTGCATGACGTCACGAAGCCGGAGATCATCTTCTTCTAAGTGCGATTCAAGTAGGCTAGCTGTCAATCACACAAGCAGCGGCTACGTATAGCAGCTGGCGAAATGGATTATGAGTTCAATAAACTATTTCCACAAGCACCATAACGGTGTTTAGTAGTTTGTGAGCGTATACAATTCTGTGAGCTCATTCTTGCTGAGAGACAGAGGGATAGAGAGAATTAAGCACTGCTGTGTGTACTTATTTTCTGTCTGAGATTTATTATGAACTGTAAAGGACAATTCAAGTTGAGTCAACACGAACTAGCCTGATTCCTAACTAAGCCTCCATAGTGCGAAAAACCTCGGTATTTAACCTTCTCCCTGGTCCGGTGGGTCACGTTGTGGGCAAGCTTAAAAGCTGAGCTTTCTACTGAGCTCGAGTCCACTGCTTTAATTGTGGCCACTTTGAAAGCTGCCGCTATCACTCGAAGTTACCACAAGCAAGGCCGATCAGGTTCGTCATAGACTAAACGGAAATAATTTGCGGCCTTTCAGCACGGAAAAACTTAAATATCCGAAACGATTCGTCACACTCGTAGGCTCAAGACAGCTTCGACAGAGCAGCGGTGATGGCATATCCTTTTCGAAGACAATTATTTTCCGGAAGCAGTATTTGCTTTGACTGGTCTATAAACAGTTTGCTCGTTCCCATCCGCAACTGCATGAAGAAGTTAAAGCCGAATAAAAACATGAACAAGTGATGTGTTAAGGCGTTTATTAGCCGGCAACCAGCGAGAACATACAATGGCTACAGTCACGGCCAAGCACGGGCTCTCAGCGCGAGTGGCGTCCTTGTTGGGTAGCCCCACTAGGAGGTACTCAAGAGTTCGACCCATTTCAGAGTTCGGAGGCTTCGCTACAATTACCCCGGGATCGAAGAGGGAGCCGCCTGGCGATCTAACAGCTTGTTACTATGAGCGGGTCATAATAAGCCTTCAGGCGCTCCACGTTGACGATGTCGTGCCCACGGCGGCGCATGTCCGAAGATTGTTCAACGGGTTCGATCAGATAGTTGACGGGTGAGGTGCGCTCGATGACGTGGTAGGGGCCTTCGTATTTGGGAAATAGTTTGGAAGAGAGGCCAAGTACAGAGGTCGGGATCGAGAGCCATACAAGCGCACCAGGAAGAAACGTGGGCTCAGAAGTGGTTGAGCCATCACGAATACTCTTCTGCCGCTTTTACTCTTGCGTCGTAAAAGTCTTGGCAAGCTCGCGACACTCTTCAGCAAGCCTGGCTGTCTCAGAAATACGTGTACACTTAGATGGATCCGGCGTGTACGGGAGTATCGTGTCCATGGTGTGCGACGGGTGCCTTCCGTGCAGCAAGTAGAAAGGTGAAAAACCGGTCGTGCTCTGAGGGGCGGTGTTGTAGGCGTAGGTGACGAAGGGCAGTATATTATCCCAGTGAGTGTGGTTGGCAGCGACGTACATAGAAAGCAAAGCGTTCGGTGAGGCCATTCGTCTGTAGGTGGTAAGCAGTAGTTCTGCGGTGAACAGATTGGCACTCCGTCAGAATGGCTTCGACGACTTCCGACAAGAAGACACGGCCTCGATCACTGAGAAGCTCTTGGGGTGGTCCGTGGCACAGTATGAATCGATGCAGCAGGAAGGACGCAACATCGCGCGCAGTAGCCGCAGGGAGAGCGGCGGTTTCGGCGTATCGCGTTAAATGGTCAACGGCAACGATGGCCCAGCGGTTACCAGCCAATGTCAGAGGAAGTGGTCCATACAAATCAATACCTACGCGCCTAAAGGGACGGTCAGGGCAAGGTAACGGCTGCAGACCGGCGTGCGACATGTGTGCTGACGGTTTACAGCGTTGGCAAGTGAGGCAAGAGCGAACGAACTGCTGCACGTAGCGGTACATCCCACGCTAGAAGCAGCGTTGTCGAATGCGGTGGTAAGTTTTGGATACCCCAAAGTGCGCACATTGCGGATCAGAATGGAAAGCTTCACATATCTCCAACCGCAGACTGCGGGGTATGACAAGTAACCACTGCCGGCCATAGGAGTCGTAATTGCGTCGGTGCAGGAGGCCGTCACGAATGGCGAAATGGTGAGCTCGACGACGCAAGGCACGCGTGGATGGTGTTGCGGACGGATCAGAGAGCAAGTCGATCAGGGGGGTGATGCAATTATCCTTTTGCTGTTCGGTAGCGAGGATGTCAACGTCAACGGTAGATACAGCAATTGAGGTTACTGAGCAGGGCACGCCGTCTTGAGGTAGAGGGGAGCTTGAAAGGGCATCAGCGTCAGCATGCTGGCGTCCGTTGCGGTACAGCACACGGATGTCGTAGTCTTGTAAGCGAAGAGCCCAACGGGCGAGACGGCCTGAGCGATCCTTCAATGACGAAAGCCAGCATAGTGCATGATGGTCGGTGACGACATCGACTGGGCGACCATACAAATAAGGTCGAAACTTTGTAAGGGCCCAGACGATCGCCAGACACTCTTTCTCCGTGAAGGTGTACTTTGCCTCGGCTCTCGCGAGCGTACGGCTTGCATATGCTACGACATATTCAGGGAATCCGGGTTTTCGCTGCGCCAGGACAGCGCCGAGGCCTACACCGCTGGCGTCCGTGTGCACCTCCATTGGGCCTGTATGGTCGTAGTGGAGTAGAATGGGAGGCGACGTCAACAAATAGCGGAGCTTCGCGAACGCGTCGTCGCACTCGGATGACCATGAATTGAGGGGCCCGTTACTTCCAAGTAGCTTTGTCAGCGGTGATATGATCGTGGCAAAAGTTTCGTATGAAGCGTCGGAAGTATGAGCACAGGACCACGAAATGATTGATGATAGATATGTGGGGGTTTAACGTCCCAAAACCACCATATGATTATGAGAGATGCCGCAGTGGAGGGCTCCGGAAATTTCGACCACCTGGGGTTCTTTAACGTGCACCCAAATCTGAGAACACGGGCCTACAACATTTCCGCCTCCATCGGAAATGCAGCCGCCGCAGCCGGGATTTGAACCCGCGACCTGCGGGTCAGCAGCCGAGTACCTTAGCCACTAGACCGCCGCGGTGGGGCGAGGCCCACGAAACTACGCAGTTCCTTGACAGATGCAGGTTTGGGGAATTCAGCCACGGCCTGAAGCTTGGCAGGATCAGGAAGAATGCCGTCTTTGTACACGTTGTACCCCAGTATGGTGAGTTGCCCTGCTGCAAAGCGGCACTTTTTCAGATTCAGTTGCAAGCCGGCATTGCTCACACGTGCGAAACCTTCTTTCACACGTTGGAGATGAGTGGAGAAATCCGAACCAAAGACAATGACATCGTCGAGGTAACACAAGCACGTGTACCATTTCAAGTTGCGCAGAACGGTGTCCATCATGTGCTAAAAGGCCGCATGTGCACTACATAGACCAAACGTCATGACGTTGAACTCGTACAAGCCATCTGGCGTGACGAAGGCGGTCTTTGGTCGAGCGTCGTCAGCCATGGGTACTTGGCAGTACCCCGAGCGCAGATCGAGAGAAGAAAAAAAATCGGCTTCATGAAGGCTGTCAATCACGTCATCGATGCGTGGCAGTGGATAAACATTCTTGCGAGTGATCTTATTGAGCCATCTATAGTCCACCCAGAACTGCACAGAACCGTCTTTCTTCGCAACAAGAACAACAAGAGACGCCCATGACCTGTCCGAGGGCCGAATAACTTCGCGTTAGAGCATATCGTCAACCTGATCATTAATTACTCGACGTTCAGTAGGCGACACGCGATATGGACGTTACCGTAAAGGTGAATGG